GAAACTTCTCTATTCATGAAATATAAATTAGTGACAGGAAATTTGTTTTATGTCAAAAAACTAATGCTATATTACTGAAGTACTAGCAATATTGGGGCACTTTTTAATATTGTTCACAATTTGCATATGACTGTCTGAAATATGAAATAATATTAGAGCCACAGTGTTACTGAATTCATCACATAGCAACCGTTTCTAACACTACAGAAAACTTTCATACATCTTAAATATATACATGCCTACAGTGATGGGGCAACAGGGCAGGTCTTCTCATGAATCAGTAGTTGGTTAAAAGATAGGAAACAAACCAGTAGTAATAAATGGTCAGTTTCAAAGTATAAAGGGGTAAACAGCGGAGCCCCCCCAGTAATCTGTACTAGACCTGTTCTGCTCAACGTATTCATAAGGCTAAGAGGGCCTCCCCAAAAAAGATTGGCGGGCCATCAAAAGTGCATATCTTTGTAAGGTCCCCCATTAGCCCAAGGCCCTGGGCTGCAGCCACTAACGCCCTAGCACATTATCCAATCCTGCCTGGCCAGGAAGGAGGCAGGCAGCTCTGTGTGCTACTGTTCACCCTCCCTCTGCTTCCCCCACCCTGCTGGTCTGGAGCTACATTGCTGTGAGTGCCAGGGGAAACTCTGCCCCCACACAGTCCTTGCCTGTAGACTCCACCCTTGCAGTTCCCATTGGCTGGGAATCCTGGCCAATGAGAGCTGTGAGGGGGGTGCCTGCAGGTGGTCACAGGCCAGGCTGAACCATCTGCTACCCCCACAAAATGGGAGGTGCCCCAGGTAAGCGCCCTGTACCCTAATCTCCTGCCCCAGCCTTGAGCTCCCCTCCCACACCCTACCTCCATCCCAGACCCCACACCCTAACCCTCTGCCCTGGCTCAGAGTTCCCTCCTGCACCCTAATTTCCATCCAGACCTCACATCCCCACCCCAACCTCCTTTTCTGAGTCCCTCCTGCACTCCAAATGCCTTATTCCCAGCTCCACCTCAAAGCCCGGACTCCCAGTTGGAGCCCTCGTCCCCTCCCATGCTTACTCTCTTGCCTTACTCCAGAGCCCTCTCCCACACTCTGAACCCCTTGTTTTTGGCCCCACCCCAGAACCTAGGAGTCTCCACAAAGATCTAATGGCCCCAGGCCTCCAGAAGAGTTAATCCAGCCATGATAGAAATAGTCAAAAAGCTTAACAGTTCATTAGGAATGATTAGGAAAGGGAAAAAAAAGAAGAAGAAAATATTTATTGCCCCGTGCTTGCACACAGTTCTGACACAGGCTAACAGTCAGCATTACAATGTGAGGAAAGCCTCTATTATATGCTTTTGTTTCAGAGAATTTCTTCATAATCATAGGATGTAAATGATAAAGGGTAGTGCACATCATTAAAACCTTTCTGCATAGCAACTCCAGCTCTTGATTGGCTCTGAGCTTTTGTGCTCAGCATGAGGGATGGATAGACTATCATTAAGATAATCAATTCTCTTTAGTATTTATGCCGTTAGCATGTTCCCAGAAAGTTTGGGAACTTTTAAACAACTTGATTTTCAGACTAGTTCCTATTGTTAGTCTATGTTCAGGTGTAATAATACTCCATGTAAACCTGCCTTTATGTTATGCTAAAACGTAAAGGCCCTAAGAATGGGTCTAATTTCCTAGGCATTGTATAGGATCTCACCGCTATACGTTAAAAACCTACACCAAAATGTCTTCAGATGAATTAATAGCTCATGTGGCAATAGGAATATTTTGCATGTGTAATAGAGGCAGAGTGTACATTAGGACACATATCCATATATTCCACTTCAAAACGGAACTGAGCTTAATGTTCTGTTTGACTCTTTCTGCAGGTGCACTAGACTGTGAAGAGATTTAAACATTTTCTTGCTTAAAAAACAGCCTTATACCCCCTTCAAAGACAAAAAGTGAGACTTTCAAATCAATATAATTGACACAAATTCTTGTCCAGCATTGTATTTCTCCTTAGCCAGGTGGCTGAAAGGCACTCTGAAAATATTCTAGAGCTTTTTGAATTTGAAATTCATTTGTAAGCCACATAATTTAGCTCTCCCAGGTGACTAGAAGTTTTTGGCTGTAGTATTTTTGGCTGCACTGAGTTCACCAGCTCCAGTGGCATTTTCTTAGCAAATTGCATTTGACTCAAGTGTTCCTTTTTCAATTTGATGCTAGCATACTATCATCACCTCAGGCATAAATTAAACTATATGACTCAGTCTTTTACAAGGGCTATAAGGGTGTATCTAGACTACATGGCTCCATCGACGGAGCCATTTAAAGTAGTTTACTCGGCATAGTCAAAGAAGCAGGGATTTAAATAATCCCCGCTTCATTAAAATAAACATGTCTGCCGCGCTGTGCCGATGATCAGCTGATACAACACAGTGCGGTAGTCTAGATGCGGATCTGTTGGCAGGGGAAGCCTTTGACAACCGATCCCTTATGCCTCCTGAAAGACATGTAGTCTAGACACACCCTAAGCGATAAGCCTTCCCTATAGAAGCAATGGGTTCCCTGATTTCATTCATACCTGCTTTTATGTTTACTACCAAGTATAATTAGATCGTAAAGATTTCTGTTAACTCAAAATACAGTGTCAGAGGTATAGCCGTGTTAGTGTGTAACTTTAAAAACCAGGAGTAGTCCTCTGGCATCTTAGGCTATGTCTAGACTGCAAGCCTCTTTCGAAAGAGAGCGTCTAGACTGCAAGCAGTACTTTCGAAAAAGCAAGCCGCTTTTTCGAAAGAAAGCAGCGAGTGAGTCTGGATGCTCTCTTTCTAAAAAGCCCTGTTGGCATTCAAGAACGCCTTTTTTTGAAAGAGCACTTTCGAAAAAGGCGTTCTTCCTCGTGAAATGAGGTTTACCGCCGTCGAAAGAAAAGCCGCATTCTTTCGATTTAATTTCGAAAGAACGCGGCTGCAGTCTAGACACAGGTGATGTTTTTTCGAAAAGCTACTTTTTTCTAAAAAAACCCTGAGTCTGAACACAGCCTTAGAGATTAACCAAAATATGCAGAATCTGAGCTTTTGTGGGCAAAACCCACTTCATCAGATGAATTGGAGTGGAAAGAACAGAACCAAGTGTCCATGTGTGTGTGTTTTTTAATATATATATATAAACAGCAGAAGTACCTGTCAATTGTAGGGATTTTTATACATCATCTGAATCTACTGAAAGATGTTCAGAGCTAAATTTCAGAGACTAATTTAATCCAAATTTAAAAAATGAATGGTTTCAGTGTACAAGCAGGATGAAGAAGAATTAATAAATTGACTCTTTAGACAGGAATTATGCAGGAAAAGTCAAATAGCCAAAAGCACTAGCAAAATATCCATGTAAAATTAATTCCACTCAGTTTCTGCTGTACAGTATCATCTGTTATGGTCTCACAAGGTGATAAAGACACTACACTAGAATATATCAAGCATGGTGATTTCAACCTAGAGAAGTTAGATAGCCATTACATGACTATTCAATTATATGCATCAAATTTTAGCGGTTATACAACTTTTCGATAGGGGGCCAGGCTGGCAGCCAGGGTGCTCTGACCCCACTGTCAGGGAGCCCCTTGCTACTGCGTGCTGCTGCCTCTGATGTACATCCCACAGTGCCACAACCCATGGAGCAGCCCCTGTCTGGGGCCTGGACCTGCCACAGGCAGAGGCTGCTCCACGGCAGCAGCCCCCCTCAGACAGGTGCCAACGGGTGCCCCATGGACAGGGACTGTTGCTACCCCACACTGCATGGGGTGGCAGGCGGGAGCTGGTCCACAAGGGGAGATGGTTTAAAAAAAACACAATTACAAACAATCACAATTTGAAAAAACAATTTTATTAGAAACATTGGAATTCCAGGTACATCCCATTGTGGCAGCACAACCATACCCTGACCTTTAAGTTATGGTAAGAGGAAGCTGCATACCAAATGTGGAGGTTCTAGCTCTTCCTGTTGAACAAACAGACTCACAGATGGAGAGACAGGCAAACAGACTCACTTTTCTAAAATAGATAGTAAGAAGTTGAGCATTCTACTTAACAGCATCTGGCCTCAGAATTTAATGCTAATTATTTCCCTCAACTATTTGATAAAATTACAAGGACAAAGAAGTTAATTTCTTTGATCAAACAATAGCACCAATACACATAATCAAGGAGAGAAACACTTTCCTTATAGCGATCGTAGGATTGTGATAGCTAAAGCTTAGAAATAATGGGAAGTTTGATTTCAAGACCATTGATTGAAAAACATTGCGGAAATCTAGTTAGTGCTGTTTTGGCGAAGGATAGCTTTTGTGAAGATGGTGATTTGTCAGTTTCTCCTTCCATAAAACCAATAATCTAATGTAATTGCACCACTCCCATAAACACCTAATCACTCCACTGCAACGTTCAGTGTACTTTCCAAGAAATCACACAACTACTTTCAAGTAGATTAAGAACTCATTTGTTTTCATTATATCCCATTAGCTAGTTTGCCTGTTAAGAGTCCTAGAAATATGTTCTCTAAGGGATGGGAAAAAAATCAGAGAGAAAAATCAGATGCCATTCATATAGCTAATTTACTGCTTATTGCTCTGTCAGCCGGTATCTGTGCTCCTCTATTCAACAGCTGTAAAATGTTGCTAACTAACTTGGCTTTACAATTTTCTCAAATGCTCCTTAGCAACTTTTTATATACTAAGTAAGTGCTTTAGTTTGTGTAGTGTAGAGAGCAGTAATACAAAGTTAAGGTTCACAGTAATGATACACAATATTTGTTTATGAATTTCAGTTTAGTAAAAGAGTACCATTCAAAACAGTTAAGCGCTTGGCTTTATGCAAAAGGTGGACACTACTTCCTCTCTCCTCCCAGATATCTTGAGAATTATATTTTGAGAGCAAAATGTATGAGTGAGGGCTGAAAGTTTCGTTATGTTCCATTTAATCACAGGTCACTTATGGAGTAACACCATAAACCTTGTTTAAAGCATACAGTCAAGTTTATAGAAAAGAACAAAACTACATTACTTGTAACAAAAAGTTGCATTTGAAGAACTGCAGATTTGCTACCTACATTCCTCCTGCTATTTGGGTGACTGGACCACCTCATAGCTAACAGGGAAATGTATCAGACTGAAACATCTTATCAGCCAGATACGGTGGAGGGAAGTGGAGCCTACAGCAAGAGATGCAGAATTGCCACCTTACGGGTGGAGCAGCTGGTCTGTCCAAATTGCACATCCAGCCACAAGAACAACATATTGGAAAAGTCTCTTCCACCTGCTTCCAGAGCGTGACTCCAAAGTTTAGCTGTGACCAGGCTTTCCGAGGAGGTAGTTCTTAGTTTCCCTCAAGGTAAGTGGGAATTTGTCTCATCTCTGGAGTTAAATGCATTTCTAGACTGAAACAATCCATCCTTCTTTTTAGGAAGCAGTTGTGCTTATAAGCTATAGCTATTGTTTCCATCTTCTATTTTATGTGAAATGTTTGCCACCATCTATATGCATTCATCCAGACCTTTGTTTCATCTGCTATATTAATTTGCTTTGGGTTTCCAGAAACGTATTCTATTCACCCTGTCTACACTGCACGATTATTTCAGAATAAACTATTCCAGAAGAAATATTCCAAAATAGGTTATTTTGAAATAGCATGTGTACATTACAGGAAAGCCTGGAAACTAGTCTGAGGCAGGCTTCCCTAATGTGGACACGTCACCTCCATTTAGAGCCCCAAGAAGCACTGGGAAGTAATTACTTCGAATGGCCTGGGGGTGAAGCTATCATATATAGAATAGCCCAATGTCTGAGAGTCTGTAACACTGAAATGCTGGCTGTTCACTATGGGGGGCGCTGTTGCCTGAAATGCTGGCTGTTCCCTCTGGGCAGCGCTGTTGCCCGACTCACGTTCTTTGCTCCCCACCGTGGCGCTCGGCTGACTTCTGTGCCACTCAGCCGGGCCGCCATGGGGGAGCAAGTGGCACAAGCAGCTGTTTGGACCCCGTGCTCTCCATGCAGCTGAAGTCAGCCGAGCATCATGGCGGGAGGGGAAGGAGGTGGCGTGGTGACGTACATGGCCAGGGGGCGGGGCCTGGTCATGTATGTCATCGCCCCGCCCCGCTTCCCCTCCTGCCATGACTCTTGGCTGACTTTTGCGCTGCTCAACCAGGCCACTGCAGGGGAGCCCAAACAACCGCTTGCTCTGCTTGCTCCCCTGCGGCGTCCTGGCTGACGGCGCAGAAGTCAGCCGAGCGCCACGGCGGGAGGGGAAGGGGGGTGAGGTGGTGACATACACAACCAGGGGGCAGGGCCTGGACGAGCGTGCATCCCTGACGGAGACAGAGGAGAGCAGAGAGAGAGTGAGAGGCAGGGGGGGGAGAAGAGAAAGAGAGAGACGGAGAGAGAGGCAGAAGGCGGAGGAGAGCTGAGGGGGGGGAGGCAGTAGGAGGAGGAGAGAGAGAGAAAGAGACACGGAGCGAGAGACCGGAGGCTCAGGAGAAAACACCGACATGGAGGAGAGACCTGAAAATCCTGTCTTATGACGGGCTAATTGGCTAGTTTCTAAATAGCATTAGTGGAGTATTCACACTCTGCTATTCCGAAATAGCTGTTTTAGAAGTGGCATTATTCCTCGTGGAATGAAGTTTGCAAACACTGAAATAAGCCACCTATTACTTCAAAATTATTTCAAAATAATGGACTAGCTGTGTAGACACTCGCATAGTTATTTCGGAATAACGTCTGTTATTCAGAAATAACACTGCCGTGTACACGTACCCTGAGAGTGGCAAGATGCCTTGGCTAACAAAGGTGTACTCAATAGCAGCTCTGAAATATATTACCCTTCTGTGGAACAGTAGGCTTAGTTGACAAGGATAAGGATGGCCATTCCCTCCGCCCCCTTAAGGATATTAGTAATGCCATGTGCTATTGTTATTAGTGCTTCAGTGGCTGGCACTATTTATTTCTTTAACAATATAATGTGAGTATTGTAGTTTACAAAATAACATCTGCGGTCTTATGTGCTTAAGGCTAGACAAGGAACTTCTTACTCAGTTTCTATTTAAATCAATGGAAGCTTTCAGCAGCAACTTGACAGTTTTGTCCATAATAGTGTAGTTAACCTGGGGCAATAACATTCTATAATTACTGAGCCAATTTGAACTATGGTCTGTGAGCACTTCACTGGTGATTTGTTCAGGGTTGACTCCTCATCATTGCTCCTATACATCCGGAACCCTCACGACAAATAAAGTTGACTGCCTGGGGAGAAACAGTGGGGTTCAGGTCTGAAAATCCACAAATGGAGGCAGCTAAGCCAGTACCATTGATGTCATCTGATTTAGAATAGAAACCATGTCAGAGTACCCATAGCAAGTCGTTTTCATGCTGGTGGTGAAGTGCAGGAGTCTAGTACAATGTGATCTGCACTTATGGTAAAGTTGGAGAAACATGCGCAACCATCAGGTACCACTATTTTGAGTTTGACTCACCACCCCAAGAAGTGGGTACATAAAGTTCCCCATGGCATAAAAGGCAACTGTCAAAATACTTTTAGATAAGAACTTGCATGTTTCATGCCTTAAAGGATTAATTTAACTGCACAAGATGGCCTGAGATGGTATTAAAGACATACTACCAGGTAACAATTGAAACATAAGTGAAAAATCACTTCAATGGCACTGAGGAATCAGCTTCTGCTGCCAGTGGGTGGTAGGGAGTCATCTATTCTCCTCTCCCCCCGCCCATACTTCTCTGGAGTATCTGACATTGCTGCTCATGAGATACTGATGTCCTGCCTAAGAGAGGTGTCAGGAGTTCAAGGGAACATACCAAGATGGTTACAGTCATTCCTAAGAAGATATACCTCAAGTGAAGTGATGAAAACCTGCACTGCCACTGCTAGATCCCTCACCCCTGAAATCCCTCGGTCCTCTGTCAGAGCCTACTGAACAGCCAATAGATGAACTAATAAAGTGACTAGATGAAATTTTAATCTCTTTTCCATTCTTAAATAAAGCAGCATAGCTTTTTAAAACAAACTATTGGCAATTTGACTGCCTGACCTCTTTATTCTCCGGGCTATACAGAATAAACTGCATTAACTACTCTGAGTATCCTCAACCCTTGGAAAGATGAACCAGGTGCGGATAATCTGACCACAAGCACCTAAGATCTCTGGAAGAGTTTTGGTATCTACCCAAGCAGAGATGGATCTGGGCTAGCGTGAAAACTCCTTTAGGGCACCAGCGTTCTAAGCATCTTTCCAACTTTGGCAGTCTGATTAGATAGGTCCTCAGTCTTTAGGAGTCATCTGAATTAATTTTCTATGCCTGGACCCCATAGAAAGTATGAAAAATTGAATAACAGTTGGTTAAACAGCTCTTCATGTTCATTGTAGGTAGAATAATTCAAAATGATAAATCAGGGCTACTGTACTCTCGGCTGTAGAGATTAAAGGTATGAATGGCTGAGCATTTTCAGCTTCTATTTGACTTGAATGGGAGCAGAAGGTGTTCAGCACTTGGTGGGAGGCCTGATCTGCCTTGCACAATGAGACCTGACTGAAAGAGGTTCAGCTGCAAGCACTTCCTTTCAAGATGCAGACAGCTTGTACTAGTGGATCAAAACTCAGCATCCGCAGTCTTATTATCGAAGAAGAAGAGTTGAATTACCCATTTCAAAGACCAGCTTGAAGGTCTAAGCTTCAAGTTAATAGAACATCAACTTTAAGTATAGTTTTATCCCCCTATCCCTACGGCATTGAGATTGGATTAGAACATTTTCAAGACCCTGATTTGACTCTAATTTGGACAGTATTCTTTGATTAGGTGCAGAAGTTAAGGGTTTTATTTGAATGTATTCTGACTCTCGATAAAACCTGAGTTCAGTTTCAACTTACGTTTGCCTTGTAAACCAAGATAGCATCTGTACCTGAACCCCAAAAGCCTTAGCTTTAAGGGCATAATACTTCAGAATGAAGGGTCTATCTCTAAATATTAGCTATTCTAAGATATACCTTAATCACAATAGGCAATGCAAGTGTTTAACACAGGTTTAACACAGTAGGAAATTATCACGGCCAATTCTCATACATGTTTTCCCTCAGTTTAATTCTAGTTTTTCTTCTCATCAAGTGAGTTTGACATCTTCAACAAGCACCACTTAAACTGATATTATTGCACCTGGTTAGTGGGTTTATTGGCAGTTTGACAACATTCTGTGTCTACATTTGACCGGATTGCTTAGCTGCCAACAGCTCCAAAAAGAAACTTGTTCTAAGATGCAATAAGATACAGGCAATTATGCCACCACTCGAAAAAATGCCTTGAATCAAAAAGTGATCCCTTAAGTATCTGGGAAGGGAAAGCATTGCAAATAATCATTTGCTATAGCAAACAACATTTTATCTTTCATTGAGTGCAGCACAGAGATTGGCAAGAACCTTTTACGTAAATTGAAACATAGATGCAAGTTGGAAAATAGCTGCATGCTACCCAACAGCTTTTCATTATGTGCATTTCAATTAGTTTTGAAAAAATCTGGAAATAGGGCCCATTCTTCAAGTGGCTAAGAATAATTCCCTACATTCAGATGAGGTACTATCTGAGTCAGTCTTCTGAACTATTCAAAAGTCATGCAGAGGGAGTACCTAGATGAGATGTGGTAATTCACAAGCATGATGCTTTCTTAGGATTTCCAGAGCTTTAAGCTACCTTAAACTCCTCGCTGCTTTTGCAGATTCAGACTAACACGGCTACCCCACTGATACTTAAGCTACCTTGATTTTTTCTTTCTTGCTGAGGCAGAAATTTGCTGCTCCTGAACTGCGTGCAAATTAGTGCCACTGTTAGTCAGTCCAGCAAACTGTTCATGGCTCTGCTAGCCTTTTTCTTGCATTAACAGTGACACTGTGTGCCTCTCATTCCCAAACTCCATGGAAGAGCAGCGTCTGCAGTATCCAGTTCCTGTCACTGGCTAGTTACCGAAATGTCAAGTCTGATGCTTCTGAAGTGACAGAACAAGGCTTCTGACAGGAGAGAGGGTAGAAGAGGAGGCGAATGGGGCAGAGTGTTTATCCTGGTTATTGCACCCAGTGTAGCAATGCAGGCTGGGTGGGCTCTTGAGTGGACTAGGGCATACAGCACTTACCTAGGGAGCACAAGGTAATAGGTTCAAGCCCTACCTACCCTGGGAGCATCTGGACAGCCAACACAGGCTTTCCTAGGGCTGGACATGGCTCCTGCACTATGAACGCAGGATATGGGACCCTCCAGAGGTGGGGTGGGTTGTAGACTGGAGTCACCTATTTGACAGGTGATGTATGTGTGCAAGGAGCTCCTGGTTTCTTAGAGA